GTTTTTCCCTCCTAAAAAGGATCTTTTGCGATAAATTCACTATTTAACCAATTAATCTTTCATGTGAGTAGCAAGTCAATCCTGTCTATGCTATTTTTCGTTTATTAGGCAGATTTTTGAGTTATCAATGAATTGAGTTGGTTTATCTTTTATTATCTCTTTGAGCATTTAAACTCATATGTATTGCTATTTTGTGTATTCACATATTCTTTGCTTTATAATTACTTAATATCGCCTTGCTTTCGTAAAATTAGGAAAGCGAACCTCTATTTTGTTGTATTCCTTCTAATCCTCCTTAGTGAAAGTATGAGGTCAGTGGGAATTATTAAGACGAATCTAGTCGATGGCCCAAATCAAAGCAAACGAATGTTAATGATACAGTCTCCACATAACCAGGGCAGGATTAAAGAGGAAGCCAGCATAACATTCTTTGCATCGCTTTTCATATCACGCTAGGGGTCTCACCTTTTTAATCCAACAGATAGCTGACTTGCTGGCCAATACATATTTTTCTAATCACACAAATTTCTTAGCCCCTTACTTTTAAGAACCAAGTTTGCATGTACTGGTTTTCATACCGGCATGCACACATACAACGATAAATGCATATTCATGGTTTGGTATTAGCATTAATCTGCCAAAATCTTTCTATAACTCCCGTAACTTATGCATATATATATTTATTTTGAACTTATATATACACATGTATGTATGCATGTGTATATGTATAAGGTTGAGGGATTGCAAGACTCATGTTATCTTTCAAGTGAAATGAAAAGCGAAAGCCTAGTACATTTTCCTCAAGGTCGAAAGATGAGGGATATTAGGAAAACCAAATGACTGGCTAAGGAAAATCTGCCATTGCCTACTGGCGGGTTCGATCACAGACTCTATACATAAAATAGTTTCACTTTATCGTATCAATCTTCAGTAAGACTTACTCGCTAGCTGCTTAGACGATTGGCTTTTATTGTTAAATCTCTTTATTCTGGTGTGATCTGACCTGGTTTTCGCAACTTGGTCGTTTTGTCAGGGGAGCCTATTTGGGCGCACCCTTTCTAAAGTATGATAATTCCTTGAGATGGACCGAGGACTTAGCACATCCCTCGGCGTTTCGCCGGCATCTTCAGGGAGTCTGCCATTCGTAGCCTCAAGACAAGCCTCGTCAAATAGACAAGTGAAGTAAGTCCCGTGGCCAAATTTGGACAGGAGATAAACTAGATCTCATTTGCAGCGCGATCACTTTCCGAAAACGGGGTTGGACAATTTCTGTATATCGAAAGGAGACTGAGACCAAAAGAGAAACCAAATATCTTGGTCTTCCAATCTAGGATTACTCCAAGTAATTAAGATTGACAAACAATGTACTGAATACAGCCGGACAAAGAAGACACTTATAAGTCATTAATTCCACCTGATCTTTTTAAACTGGTGTAAACCTTACGTTATCACTCCTGGATTCTGTGATCTTAGGAGACAGTACCATTCGGACAGGGCTATTGGGATTCCTTAGCAGGCCTCTATTCAAACTTTAAAATAAACTTATATTATGGGGTGGAATAAGTTATCTAAATTTTGGATACTAAATTAAAGCTATTGCGAAATTTGGACAGGTTTCTGACCGGACGATTTTCTAAAACTCCAGCGTATGGCCGGCATGAGATAATCTGGTATGTCGGACTTGATAACAAAGAATTACTTACGTATGGGATTATAAGATAGCATAAGTTCAAGCCAGCGCGTATAATTGGTTGGATTTTCGAGATCGGAGTAAATTGCTGAATTTGTCCTCGATTGCCGAAATCACCACGATCCTGGAGAAAGGGTCAAATTGGTAATTTTCGATGCATAATCTGTGTATACAAATATGTGAGCTGTATCCATCCTATTTCGTCTAGGGTGATAAGAGGACTGCTAGGTGAATTTTCTCGTAATGCTATGAGTAGACATGACGTTTTCATTGAATTTCACATAGTTTTGCTTACCCAAAAGGTGTAGTCTTGACATCGCTTAGGTTTTAGCATCACTCCAAGCGGGACTCGAACCATAACAGTGCAGCGTATAATTTTCGGTAAAGCAATGCCTTGCAAAGTTCAACTAACAGCCATCATATCACCCTAAATAAATTGGGATGAATACATCTCTCATATATGATCTACTGGTAGTCTCTAAAGCCTACTTATAAACGGAAAATATGTATGCAAATATCTCGTGAGATATGAGGTTAATGTATTGTAATGACCCATACCTACACTTTCCCCATTCAATGTCTAGTTTTGCTACATCCCATACGTAGTCATGGCACAGAGATCACGAGAATGCATGACCAACCAATCGAAGCTTGGCACTGTATCGTCTTGTCTGAAGTTAACATGGGAAACTACCTAACATCCCACTTAGGTTGGTCACGTTTTCTTCCTTCCCTTTTTTCCCTCCGCTGTGACCTGCAAAGTTCAGACTTTCCTATTTCGCGCCACCACCATTCAATGACTGTCCTAAATACTCTATTTCGCCGTTTCTAAGTGGTAATACTATTTTTCTTCCAAATTTGGAGTTGTAGAGTGCAAGCGTTTTATATTTTAGAGACAGTCCACTTTCTCTTCGGAACACTAAAGGGTCTTCTGACGATTTTGGAACGAGGATAGGATATTATGGAAACATGGATACATGAATAAATTGGGAGGGAATTTCAAGATGTCATCGCTGCAAACATGAGTGTTCATGTGACAACTGGATGACTATTCTGCACTTTAGTTGCATGGAAGTGAAAAATTATACGATTTCCTGAAAGTTATACATCAGATTGGTGAAATAATAAAATTTACAACTGAAGAGGATGCTATAATCATTAGTTCGAATGAGACACTCACGAGAAGATTGTACTAAGGGAAGTCATATGCCGGAATAAAATTAGATCAATTTCCAATCATTTCCAGTTCCATCGAAAATGCAGACTGAAGTTCGGAATAATGAGGACAATGGCCGTCAGAAGCCTACGCTCAATGGGCATGGAATTATGGACGAAGAATTGGACGAATTGACTCGGATGATCCTCGGCAACAGATGCCAGTGAGAAGTAGTACAAATAACCATACGCTCCATGCAAAGCTGATGGCAGAACGGGGATCATGAAAGAAAAGTAGGGATGGAGAAAGACTCGCCAAAGTGGACATGATTATCTACCTTGAGAAGTAACAGAAAAACGAAGACGAATATTAGGAAAATGGGATTTTTGGATGAGCACCAAGTAAAAAATGAACACTATTCACAAGTTTACCTGCATAACATTAGAGAGAATATAAATTGAATTGCTTGCGAGTCTGCGAGGTCTGCAAACATGAATAAATTAACGGAACAGGTAGAAAAATCACTTTCTACTTCGTCTGGGCTGGTCTCATCAGCACCCCAACCACGACCAGAACCGTACAAGGGCGGTATCTAATCTGGCCACGTTAACTGCCATGATTAGAGCGAATCAGATCTCGTTGTAGTCCCAAAAAACCTACTTATGAACCGGAACCGAGGGAAATCAATTAGCGGTTATGATTAGAAACGAATATCTGAGGCAATGAGGAAGATCCAGAGTGAATGTCCCAGTCGGATCAGCAATTGCGACAAACCGGGAGCGAAAAAGAACACACTTTTTGAGAAGTTGTGACAGTGGAGTGTGATACGAGGATACGGGATTGGTTATAGGAAAAGCGTTCGGTAAAAGTTGATCAAAGGATCGGCTTCACTTGTCTCTTTGACGAATTGTAGCTTGGCGCCAAGACTGGCAAGACTAACTGACGATAGCAACCATAATGCTGGCGAAACGTCTGGAAATGTACTAAGCCCACGGTTCAACGTTAGGAATAGTAATAGCTAATGTAATACTGGGCTCTATAGTAGGTCGCCCCGACAACAAGAGAAGGTTGCGTAAGCGAGATCGGATCACTTTTATGCAACAAGAGTAGGCTGCTGCCACAAGAGAGATCACAACATGTTGGCCTTACTGCCACATTATTTCACAACTTAAAGTAATTATAACAGGGTTTAATATTGGTAGATGAATTTTCCCACAATCATGTGAGTAAACCTGATTGGTAGTCCCGAAAACCTATTTATCATCAAAGACAAGTGAGCTGTGTTCCTCCTATTTCGTTTAAAGTGATGAAGGACGAGTAGTTGAATCTTCTCACAATGATGCGAGTAGAAATGACGTTTCGATTGGATTTCACGTAGCTTTGATCTCCTAACATGTATTCTCATCCAGAATGGACCGCAGTTTCGACTTCGCCTAGGTCTTATCAACATGTCAAGTTCACATTTTCCACTGTCAATGAAAACGTCAGCTCTATTCATATGATTGTGGGAAAATTCGCCTACCAGTCCTTCATCACCTTAAACGAAATAGAGTGAATAGATCTTATACTACTGATTTACTGGTAGTCTTGAAGGCCTACATATAAGCGAAAAACCAGTGAGCTGTGTTCCCACTATTTGGTTTGAGTTGATGATGGCAGTTGAATCTTCCCACAATGATATGAGTAGAAATGACGTTTCCATTGGATTTCACGTAGCTCTGCTCTAAGTCTCATCAAAACCGTCAGCGGGACTCGAACCATGACAATGCAGCGCGTAATCTCGACACGTTAACCACGACACCACATTGCCACGAGTGTCCTTGGGTCACAGGGCAGATGTGAATTTCAAGCAAAGTCACGAATCTTCCCGTATCACATTCGGTGGTGGGATTGTTGACGAAGCATTTGTGGCGGTGTGGCGTATTGTTTAACGTCATAAGCTGCAGTGTCATGGTTAGAGTCCTACCGAGGATGCTGATGAGACCATTCCAGGCGAGGTCGAAACTGTAGTCCATTTAGGCCTGAATGAAAATACATTTTGGGTAAGCAAGAATTTGAAATTCAATGAAAACGGTATTTTTACTTATATTATTGTGAAAATCCAACTGAAAGACCTTCATCACCTTAAACAAACATAGTTCATTTAACAGTAATCTTGAAAACCTACTTAAAACAAAAAATAATGAAATGTATGGCTGGTTGAGTTGTGAAGCTTGAAAATGTAGAGTAGGTGTGAATATTGTGACATAACTTTTCATTTCGAAGGAAATGTTGGCTGGAAGGAATTCTTAAAGTATTCGTATGAGAGTAGGGTTTCGATACTACCAGCAAATTAGTGTAATGAGATGTATTCACCCTATTTCGTGTAAGGTGATGAAGGAGTGGTAGTAGAATTTTCCCACAA